CTTTTATTCTAAATCAAATTGAAATTGAACATAAATAATTGTTTAATTGGTTCGGTTAACAGAATTATCCTAACTAATCGAAATAATTTGTTCTTTAAACTAAAACTATATTTAATATGTTAATAATATTATTTATTTTTTATATTATTTTTTGGTTGAAAAAATATAATATATAAAATACCAAAATCAATAAAGTGCAAGCACTCAATCACAAATGTGCATATTGTATACCATTTGTGTGCATTTTATTGATCGAGTATTTTTTTATGTGCATTTCAATTTTAGGAAAATTTAATAATGTGTATTTTAATTAAAATTATTTTACACTTATTATATAACTCATGTAATTAAATTATATTTAGTAATTTTTATTTTTTTATTTAATATTTTATAATATCATATTTTTTTTCCCGAAACGATAGAGGTACTATATTAATAAAAACCGCACAAAGTGTGAAGAGAAAGCAGCCAAAGACTGAATAGTACAATCAAAGACTAGAAAAATGGGAGGCAGATCCAGAGATCGCCTAGAGCCGACCCCAACGGGGTAATACTCGGGAAACACACAACAAAAAACACAACCACACTAAACCAACTACACAAACAAAACTAAACAAAACCCCAACAGAGTAATACCCGAGTGTCGGACCTCCACGGAGTAATAAATTTGACACCCGGGCTCACAGAGGCCAACGGCCCAAACCTAGAACACAATCATAGGAACAAACACAGACAGAAAACACAGCAAAAAAACAACTAAAAAACACACAATCACAAGCCCTCCCTCTACCGCAACTCCTAAACCAGACTAGCAGCCACCAAATCAACCCAGGGGACACCCACTGCTTGAGATAAACGACCCCTCCACGGCAATTAAGCCTAGCTGAATCGCAACTCAAACCACGAGTCCACCTAAAGCCAATTCTCCCCCAAACCAGAAATACCAAGAAACTCCCAACACAGCTCACCAAGCCCCCTAACACCACTAGCGGGCTCAGAAGAACCGAGAACCCCGAAACCCCAACACAGGGAACCGGAGGAAAGGAGTTGTCTAAATACCGCAGCCTCAGCCCCACCATCTCGAAAGCCAAAAGAACCTGTGCCACTCAAGAGCCCAACCTTTTAACCACCGAACACCGCCAGCCGCAGGCAAAGAAAACCGAGACAGGAGCGGCTAGAAGGAAACTCACCCTCAAACGAGACCGGAAACTGACCAATCGTCGACCAAAAGCTCACCGCCTTTACTCACCAATCTGCCGGAGAAAAAGATCAAAGCAGTCCGACAGCTTCTGCACCCCACAGCGACCGGAAAGCACGCCGTCGAAGTCGAAATAGGGGAGAGGAAGAGGACCGCCTGATAAACCCAAGACATCCAACTTGAGAAGTGGGACCGCCGAGGCCGCACCCGACCCTGACCCAAAGCTCCGCAACCCAAGGTCTCTCCTTAGGACAGAAATGGTCGGATATGGCAAACCCAAACCCAATTTCCAGAGAAAGCGAAATTGCCACCACAAGGACCACCGACGCCAGAGGCAAGCTTGGTCGCGACATCAGGGAGGGCCGGGCGGCGAGGGGGGGACTATCGGAGAGGCCGAAATCCGAGAGAGNCTAAAAAATAGCTGAAATAATTTTATTATTCAGGTGGTTGATCGAATTAACCTAAATTGATGAAATATTTTATTATTTATTATTATAAAAATATATTTTTACTAATTTAATATTTTTATATATTTTCTTTATTATTATTTTTGTTAAAAGTAACATAATTTATGTACGTATAAAAAAATATATAAAGAATAACATTGATTTATATATGTTTCATAAATTGCAAATTTTGTCTATGGGTGAAATTGAAATATATTAAAAATTCTAAAATTTGCAATTAGATCCCTGTGAAATATCAAATTCCCAAAACAAGGCCCTCAAACTCAAATCACGTTTCAGGTGTTCCCGGCCAATTCGGCTGTCGTCCTTGTCGTCGCGAATCACCTGGCCGAAAGCAAGGTGGCGGCCGCGGCCGACTCGATGTGATGCGATCGGAGACGAACGCTGGTGGGCAGGTGCGGTGCTACTGGAGGCGGCGGAAGGGCTGATGTAAGTGGACGGCTGCGGGGCAGATGAGCGTGTGTGGAGGCGCGACGGTGGAATGGCTGGGAGTAGTGAAGATCGGCAGGTAGATGGGCTTTTGTGGAGGCACGGTGGCGCTGAAGCTGCGGCCGGTGACTGTTGGAAGAAGGACGACGGGGTAATAGTACAACTTCTTCTTCTTGGTCACCGCCGACACCGTATTGGAGCTGCGACAGAAGATAAGAATCGTCGTTGACGACGTTCGTTTTCTCTAGCATCAGCGACCAGCGGTGTACGACTCGGTGGCTAAACATGGCCAAAGGGTCGCCCGGCCCGCTGACCCGGCCCTGACCGGGCCCGGTCAAACCTGACCTGGACCGGCCAGAATTTCAAACAGGCCGTGTAAGGGTCATCCATTTCATGCCCTCAGGGCCGGGCCGGGTCGATGACCCTTCTTTTCAATTTTTTTTTATTTTTTTATACTTTTTTTTAAAAAAAGCATGACTCGGCCCGGACACGGACCCGACACGAGTATAGGCCCGTGCCGGTTCAGGTCAGTGTTTTCGAGCCCGACGACCCGACGGGCTGGGCCAGGTCGTGACCCGGCCCGGGTTTTGGCCATGTCTATCGGTGGTTGCGGCACTGTGTGGCGGCCGGTAGTGAGAATGGTCGAACTCTATGTGTGTGTATGTGTGTTGTGTGTGTGTGTGTATGTATCTGCGCGTGTCTGTGTTTTAGTGAGTGAGAGAGAGAGTGTGGGTGGTTGAGTTTGACCAAATTTTACGGTTGACGGGATGGGTGAGAAGTGAGAGAGATGGGGAGAGGGAGGTGTGGCAGCTGGTGCATTAATTGGGGTGGAGTCGACTGGATTTATGTATTATTGATGTATTAAATGTCTAAACTACCCTTAATGAATGTATAAATGCTTTTGTTTTAGTCTGTTAGATCACTCAATCTGACGGCTAAGATTTATTCTTATTTCTTTTATTGAGCACCATTCTCACCGGAGCGCATCCATATATATATATATATATATTGAAATAGGTTGATCGATAATTCAAAAATAGAAAGTTGATTTTTTATTGAAATAGTTTGACTTACTTATTAAGGAGATCTTTTGAATAAAATTTAAAATTAAATTTTATCCTTTTGAATGAAATTTAGTTTTCAAAATTGTATGCTTGACTATTGTCCTACCTTTTTTGCTTTTTATAGTGCACTTTAATTTTAAAATTGTAGACCAAAATATTATAAAATATTTTTGAACAATTTATGTGTCATATTATTTGAAAAAAATTAACCCGTTCGTTGGGTCGATATAATTGAGATGTAATTGAACTTGACTTTCTAGGGCTAAGATTCTTACTTGCAAGTTTAGGAAAGACTTTCAAAATGACTCTCGACGGGAGAATTTGGGCTATTCAGGAAGAATCACAACAATTCTCCATGGTGGGAGAAGCCCTGAACTGAAGGAGAGATAGATGGGACTCAGACATATAATGTCAATGGTGTTTGAACTCTATTCTACAACTCGAAACTCGATTTTCAAATAATAAAATGGATGGTCTGTTTTTCGGCCGGCCTGGTTAGCATGTGGTTGGTCGCTCGACAGAGGCTTCTAACCAATAACATGTGTTGTCATGCAGTAGGTCATTGGTTAAGTAAACGTGCTCGACTATAAATCTGAGGTGAGGAAGAAGGACCATTAGGGACAGGAATCAGTATTAGCCGCAGATCGCAAGTCGCTAGAGGTCTGGTACTGCTCCGTGAGGGCTCTTGTTTAGAGTTGCGGTATGAGACTAGTCCCAGAGACTAAATTATGTGGTATTAATAAATTATTTAAAAATACAAATTTATTTAAAAATGGACGTGGCATTACGTTATCCACAATAAATCTCAAACTATGAAATTATTCATTTACATTAATATCCTAAATCGAATATTAGCAGTATTTTAATCACATATAAAATCATCATGATGTTTAAAAAGTTTTTGTTTATCATTTCTCATTAAAAAATAAATTAATGGTAAATAATAGATGAATTAAAAATTAAGTAATGGCAAATGCTAATTTTTCACAATTAATTAATTTATGTAATAATTTTTATAATAAGTACTTATATATATTATATAAGCGAAAAAATTATTATGTTTAAAAACATAATAATTGATATGCATAATATCTCTACTATGTAGTAACTCATGTTCGTATTGAGTTATCGCGACAATTGCAAAATTAATTGATTAGTTTTAAATATCTTAAATATGTTTATTTTTTTTTTTACAAATATGCATAAAGTCAATCTAAAGCTCTCAGAAGAGGACCGTTTTCAAACCAATCAAATTATTCATTCAATGATTTATTGATTGAATCCGAATTTGTATTATATATATATATATATATATATATATATATGAAGAAGTTAGTGTCTTCAAATGGTAATATGTGGCACTTTATGAGGCCCTTAAATGTTGACATGTGGCATTTTATGGATGCCCATGCTTTGCAATTCTAGAGCCCTTAATGGCTAGCACGTGATTGAAAAAAGCATTATATATGATTGCAACGTGGCCATGTAACTTTGTTGTTTTTACACGCCTTTTTTTCTGACTTTTTGCACACTTTTTCTTGGGTTTCATGTGATTATTTTATTATTTTTTCCATTCCTCATAGAAAACGACATCGCATTGGGGTTGAGGCTACTTTAGCAAGTATGGTGTCGATTGGACATCTCCTTTCTCCCCTCAAAATCATCAGGCTGTCTTGAGCGATTTGGTGCCTCGAAAATTTGCAGTTCACCTTCTTCACGCAACCTTCAGTGTACTCTTTCGTTCAATTTTTAAGCATCATAAACGTTCCCTTCGTCTTCAATCTCACCTGCTGCATTTCTCTCACTTATTCCCTTTCAAAATTGCAGCTCACATTTTGCTCTCTATCTCAGGAGCCGATGAATATTAGGCGATTGGATATTGTTGTAGGACTTTGGTCTCATGTATTTGACCGCTGACGGTTTTGGTAGCTTCCACGCCGCCATCTCTATCTTGGATTCCATCTCCGAAATAAAGCTGATGGCCAAGAGCAGCGAGCGGCGCTGCATCTGACGGACGTTGAAGTTCGCTTTCCTACAACTACGTATGCGGACTCGCCCGACAATGGAGAGCAGCGACGTCTACTTTGCCCACAGCACTGCATCGGACGGACAGTGAAGTTAGCTTTCCCACAACCCGACAATAGAGAGCCGCGACGTCTACCTTACGACAGCTACGTATGCAGACCCGCCGACACAGAAGGCTTTAGATTTTTAACTTGGAGGATCACAATTCACACCTCAAGAAAATTGAGTATGTGCAAATTTTCCAGAAACTTCTAATATTTGATATTGGAAAAATGTCAACAATTTGCTTGCCTGGCAACATAGTTTCATTTTTATGATTTTCTTCATTTATTTATTTAATTTGTTAGTATCCTCATGTGCTATTAAATTGAAGATTAGTGCTAAACGAAGATGATCCTAGATTCAAGAGGGCCTAAATACTTATTTACTATGATGGAGGTTTAGAGGTAAATTACTGATAATTGATGAAATATATACTGCTCATGCACGTCCAAACAACTCATCCATGAAGCTGGTTCATATAGACCGAGAGAAAATATCTCATGCATCCCATGCAAAGACAAAAACCAGCTTATAAAGAGAATATGCCATATTGATACCATTTTTTGAATTTTTCACTTGTCCTTTTCCCCTCTAGGTAACTTTGTTGTTAAGGCTCATTTTGTCTTGTATATAAAAGGGGAGAGCTGCGTTTTTCAGCTCATGATCGATCAATCGAATAGCAGCTTTCACATTCAGAATTATTCTAAACATGAAGATCATCTTTCTTGTTTCTTGCTATTTTAAATTCCAACATGGTATCAGAGCCCCAGGTTGAAATCTGGGGCCTGAATCTGTTCCTTGTCTCTTTCCTTTCTCGTTTTCTACTTTAGCCATTTCTCCCATGCAATGATGAATCCACTTTCAACAAACACCACCGGCATCATCCAACCACAAAGCCAACTTATCACTGTGAAATTATCTGAGGGAAATTATTTGATATGGAAGCAGCAAGCTCTTGTTGCAATCTTTGGATTTGGTCTAGAATGTTTCATTGATGGCTCAGGAAGAAGGCCAGAGCAGTATATACAAGGAGATGGAGAACAAGCTATCATTAATCCATCCTTTATAAGCTGGAAAAGGCAGGACCAGCTACTGTTCAGTTGGATCTTATCTTCCCTCAGTGAATCAGTCCTTCTGACCACAATTGGTTTGAGCTCCTCCAGAGAGGTATGGGAAGCTTTAGAGAGAAATTTTTCGACTCAATCAAGGGCCAAGATAATGCAGTACAGACTGCAACTCTAAACAATCAAAAAGGGAGACATGCCCATGAGAAATTTCCTTAAGAAGATCAAATCTTGCTGTGACATGTTGTCAGCTGCTGGACAAAGGATCCATGATGATGAGCACAACTCATACATCCTCACCGGCTTAGGCAGTGACTATAACTCAGCCATGGTCACTGTAAACTCCAGGATAGAGCCATACAGCCTCAGAGAAGTCTATGCTTTTTCTTTTAAGCTTTGAGAGCAGACTTGAGGGATTGGAGTCAGCCATTACTACTGGGATTGAAGGATCCATGCCAAGTGTTAACTTCACTACTCAAGGTGGAAAAAGAGGTGGTTTTAACCAAGGAAACAGAGGAAGAGGACTGAACAACTTTCAAAATGGTAGAGGAAATAGAGGAAGAGGTGGTCAAGGTAGAGGAAGAAGAATATTTGGTAATAGAGTGGCTTGTCAAATTTGTCATAAGAACAATCATACCGCTGACAAGTGCTTCTATAGAGCAGGCCTAAGCTATACTCTCAATCCTAACTTCAGTACTCAAGGGAATAAAGTCAACATGGCCCAAATCCACAATGGTTCTGCACCTTCTGTCAACACGCTGGGAGTGTGGCTGATTCTAGTCAAGATCACATGTGGTTTCCTGACTCTGGAGCTACAAATCATGTGACCTATGATTTTGCAAACATGAACCTTGCATCAGCCTACATTGGAGAGGAAAAGGTCCAGATAGGAGATGGCTCAGGTTTGAATATTTCTCATGTCGGTTCTTCTATACTTAGATCACATGCAAATAATGATCATGCTTTTCTTCTTGATAAACTTCTTCATGTTCCTCATATCACCAAAAATCTCATTAGTATATCCCAATTTGCCAAAGATAACCGTGTGTTCTTTGAATTTTATCCAAATTTTTGCTTTGTGAAGGACCAACAAACAAATGAAGTGTTGCTGAAAGGGAAACTTAAAAATGGGTTGTATGCTTTCAACTTGATCTGCAAGAATGAAGACCAGAGTCCTCCTTGTTATCACAGTTCCTTTTTATCTGCTTTCAATAATAGCAATCCAGCTTGTGCTGTGAATGTAATTCAGTCTAATGCCAAGAACAATTTCAAGTTATGGCATCATAGACTAGGGCATAGTTCTTATGATATTGTTAGAAGGGTTATGAGTGATTGTAATCTCTCCTTTGCTGATCATGAAATGAAGGATGTTTGTGCTTCTTGCCTTAAAAACAAAAGTCATCAATTGCCTTTTTTTAGTTCTGAAAATGACTCTTATGATCTTATTGAGCTTATTTATACAGATTTGTTGGGGCCTTCTCCTATTAAATTTAAACAAGGCCACTCTTATTATATCAGTTTCATTGACCACAAATCCAGATTTTGTTGGTTTTTCTTCCTTAAGAATAAATCTGACACTTACATTACCACCCTTCATTACATACAAATAATAGAGAACCAGTTCCATAAGAAGGTTAAAATCTTGCAAAGTGATGGAGGAGCTGAATTCAAACCTTTGTCCACATTTTTCAATAAAAAGGGCATTATTCATAGAGTTTCTTGTCCATATACTCCTCAACAAAATGGAGTTGTGGAGAGGAAACATAAACACATAGTTGAACTAGGCCTTGACATGATGTCTACTGCTCATTTACCTAAGCATCTTTGGAATTTTGCTTTTGAAACCTCAGTTTTTCTCATTAACAGATTACCTACCAAAGTTCTCAAATATCACAGCCCTTTTGAAATCTTATATGGTCATAAACCTTCTTACCATAACCTCAAGATTTTTGATTGTTTGTGTTTCCCTCATTTAAGGCCTCTCAATAAACATAAACTGCAAGATAGAGCTCAAGCAGCAACTTTTGTTGGTTACAGCCTTCAGCACAAAGGCTTCAAAGCCCTTCTCAATGATGGTAGGATAGTAATCACTAGAAACATCATTTTTGATGAAAATTCTTTCCCTTACCAGCCCCTCCACACCACTCAAACATCAGAATCCTCTACCCATACTTATCCTCCAAATTTTCCAAGTTACATTCCTGTCACTCACACACCTGAAAATCCCAAGTCCAATCCTCCTAGTAACAATCACACTCCTCCATAGACCCCACCACCTAACCCAAACACACAAACACCATCTTCCACACACAGTTCCAGTCCTCATACCAAACCTACACCACATCTTCCCATCAACTCTCCAATTCCTTTGTCCTCTAATGATCATTTTTCTGGCTGTGATCTTTTTGTAGATTTACCTATTGAGAATGTTTCTAATCCTGAAATTTTCTCTAATGAGCATAACCAAGCTGTTACAGGTCAACATGGCATGGTTACTAGGTCCAAAACAGGTAACTTAAACCCAAAGACTTATGCCGCTGCTCTTCAACAACATCTGGAACCAAAGAACCACAAAGAAACACAACAGCTGCCACAATGGAAAGAAGCTATGGACAAAGAGTTTTCAGCATTGATAAAAAACAACACCTGGTCTCCTGTCCCACTTCCTCATGATAAAGGTGTCATCAGCTGCAAATGGATTTTCAAAAACCAAAAAGAATTCTGATGGCACTGTTGCTAAGCATAAAGCAAGGCTAGTTGCAAGAGAATTCACTCAGATGGCAGGATTGGACTACACAGAAACTTATAGTCCTGTTATGAAGCCAACTACATTTAGGATAATCCTCTCTCTTGCCCTTGCTAATAAATGGAAGATTCAACAACTAGACATTGATAATGCCTTTTTAAATGGTGATATTGATGCTGATATATATATGGAACAAGTTCCAGGCTTTGAGAAGGTCAGTCCTAATGGTGCACCATTGGTTTGCAAACTTAATAAATCATTGTATGGACTCAAGCAAGCATCTAGGGCATGGAACTCAAAGCTAGCACATGTGTTGTCTTCTCTGGGTTTTAAAAACTCTCAAGCAGATACCTCTCTTTACTATAGAACAGATGAAGAATCCTGCACTATCATCCTCACATATGTTGATGATATCATCATCACAGGAAGTTCTCCCTCCAAAATTTCCTTCTTCATCAAGAAACTGAATGATATTTTCCCTCTCAAAGATCTTGGATTCCTTAACTACTTTCTTGGTATTCAAATTTTACCAGACACACAGGGATATTTCTTGAACCAAGAAACCTACATTTCAGATATTCTTCACATGGAAGGCATGAAAGATGCAAAGGGCCTCAATACACCAATGTGCACAGTTACTCCTTTATCCAAATTTGATGGAGATCCTATTTCAGATTCTACTGAGTATAGAAAGATACTTGGGGCTCTTCAATATGCAACCATTTCCAGGCTAGATATAGCATACACCATCAATAAACTCAGTCAATATATGCACTCACCTCTTACCACTCACTGGAAAGCCCTCAAGAGAGTTCTTCGATATTTGGCTGGTACAATCACTTATGGTTTGCTCTTCAAACATAACAACTCTCTCCATTTAACTGCATTTGATTGGGGTTCGGATCTCGATAAAAGAAAGTCCACATCAGGCCATTGTGTATTTCTTGGCCAAAATTTGGTGTCTTGGTCTTCAAAAAAACAGGGTGTTGTGTCTCGGTCAAGCACCGAGGCCAAATAGAGAAGCATTGCAGGTGTCACTTGTGAGATAATGTGGATTAAGTCCTTACTCAAAGAGCTTGGCATTCAGACATCTCAGTCATGCACAATTTGGAGTGATAACCTTGGAGCTGTCTCATTATCAAGTAATCCGGTTTTTCACTCTAGGACGAAACATTTCGAGTTGGATCTCTTCTTCATCAGAGAGAAGGTAATGAAGAACATCATTAAGGTTCAACACGTTCCTGCCAACGATCAAATTGCCGATGTCTTCACCAAAACACTTTCTGGCCAATTTTATGCGCGCCTTCAGAACAAACTAAATGTTGTCCCACGTTCCTTCATAAAATTGACGGGGATGATGAAATATATACTGCTCATGCACGTCCAAACAACTCATCCATGAAGCTGGTTCATATAGACCGAGAGAAAATATCTCATGCATCCCATGCAAAGACAAAAACCAGCTCGTAAAGAGAATATGCCATATTGATACCATTTTTTGAATTTTTCACTTGTCCTTTTCCCCTCAAGGTAAGCTTGTTGTTAGGGCTCATTTTGTCTTGTATATAAAAGGGGAGAGCTGCATTTTTCATCTCATGATTGATCAATCGAATAACAACTTTCACATCATAGAATTACTCTAAACATGAAGATCATCTTTCTTGTTTCTTGCTATTTTAAATTCCAACAATAATGACTGCTTCATTCTTGAGTTTCTTTTGTTACACTCATTTAGCCACATTCTTATTAGTGTGATACTGAAAAATCAGCCAACCAGACATACACTTAGTGATAAAATACGCTAACTCAACTCCGCTACTGACAATGCAACATCCCGGTCAAGAGGCGACAATAATTTGCCTCTGGTGCATACTGAGAACAATAGAGTTGACTATAATTCATAATAACACCGGGGAATGGTTGAGCACATGATAATTCAGGCATAAAAATGATACTATTTATGACGGTCCTTATGTTAGAAATCAGTATTCGCTCTTGCTTAGGTTGTTCTAACCACAAACTTGATACATTCAGGCATGTCTCACGTTTGATTGGTTCCATTTAACTATTAATTTATGTTGAATGTAATTCATGGTATGTGTTGGTGATCACTTTGATGCTTTCATTCACCATCTTTTGGCGATATCACAGCTTACTAATGTATAGAAACATTAAGTTGCTAATGAAAAATGTAATGACTAGAGATTTAGTCGTCAACTACATAAAGTAACTTTTGTTTTCATTACGGCCTCATGGAATGATGTTCTAATGAAAAATTATTTTGCATGTCCAGGACCACATATGATGTAACACTCAATGATGATAGCTGGTCCCTCGAGGCGGCGCCGGTGGCTCTGCCTGGTTCGCCTGGTACAGTTGCGCTTCCAATCAAGTACTAATATATACAACTTAAATATCAATTTTCATATTTTAAATTTCATAATTTCTTTTAATTTTGTGTTGTTACAAACTGTTTGTTAAATGACAACATGAACTATTACAAGGAGAATTAATGAACTGATTATCTAACATGTATTTTTCTTTTTAATATTTGAAAGTTGCAGAAGTGCTTCTAACACTGCAATATTCTTTTTCACAACTTGGAATTATTTTCCAAGTGTTTTATGGCTTGTATTCCTTGGACAATCTCTTCTGAGAAGTAAAGACATCATGTATTAAGTTCTAGGAACAAATAAATGAATTGAAAACAGAAGGTGACAATTGGAAATTATGATAATTAGTACTTAAATAAAGGCATCCCTGAGGTAAGCTTAGTTACAACAATCTCCAGTTGTTTTTAAGGTTACATATACTCCCATCTTGAGGGTAAAATTATAATTAAAAAGAGGTAAAGGGGTATTATTAATTTTACAATATAATTGTTATATTTTTTTTCCTCTTGCAAATTTGCATAGTTATTTCATTTGATTTTCATTCAATGATTTATTTAATCAAATGAGAGATGCTACCTTATAAGTTATAATATGTGAAATTTCATCATCCATGTACGCCAGCATGGCTTAATTTACGACTGAGAATCACTTTTGCTTCATCATGCTTCAAGCTAGGTGAAAGATCAATAATTTCTATATTAAGGTTCTTTAAATTGACTTATATGATTATCTTTGAATAAATGATTTTTTTTTTTTGTATAAAATATAAATAATGCAGTGGTTTGGGGTGCTAGATGGATTGCTAGGTCCTTACCGGAAAGCAGTGGGTTTAGCCTTGAACTGCACTTTTCTTCTATTGCCATTCTGAAAATAATTTGTGAATGAAACACAAGTGGCTAATCTCCCTTTAGTTTTTCTATAGCCTGCTCTTGTTAATCTCATTATCCATTTACTCAGAGGGGTTGTTCTATACATCCCTTTGAGCTGGAGGCAAAAATCATAAACTCTATTTTATGGGCCACGGAAACTTATTACTTTTTGTGTTCTTATAAAGGCTGCCTAAGAGGTTTGATATTCTCATGAATTGTATTTCTATTATAATTTAGAACTACCTTTGTATTTGATTGGATGACTGTTTCAGGAGGCGTATACTACTCCAATTCAGCCTCTCGATGTTGTAGCAGATAGGATTTTCTCAAATTGTGCAAAGCATAAGTAGTTTCTCATAAACTGACGGTTTATTAGAAGCTTCGCTTCAAACTACTGTTGTAGGTAGAGAGAGAACCGAAGAGAGAGGAGCGTGGAATTGAAGTGATTAAGAGCATAGTGCATGGTGGGCTAGCTGAGTGGATCACTAGCTTCAGCATCGTATCACAAGGTGTTGCTGGTGGTGCTCGCAAATGTAAATATGCTCAGAAAATTATATTACTAACATACATAATTATTGAAAAAAATAATTATATTTCAACTTCACAAAACTGCTTTTGAACACCATATATGTGTGCAATTGCTGTAATTAACTAACTTGTTTTGTTTGTTTCTCCATCTTATCTATAGTGAATGTTTTAGCTCTTATGGCCAATCTCATTGGAGGGACTTCCATCTATGTCAAAATGTAAGTTTCAATATAATACTTATTCATCTTTCTACATTTTAGGGTTTTTGAAATTGGGGCTCTTGATTTCGGTGGTGCAAATTTTTATGGTCTAATATTTAATTTCTTTTGTTTTATTTTTGTTTAGGAAATTCAGCCGATTGGATTGAAAACTCTCGATGTTGCACACGTCCTTCTCTATGCATTGTACGAGGGTGAATCTTCTTTGAGCTAATAATGTTTATCACATTGGTTTGAGAAGAATAGTTTATCCAATGATTAAGAAATTTTCTACCTCTTCAGATGTGGTTACTCGAAGCTGAACCCCATGACCAAGGAGTTCGTGTCGCCATCCCTTTCTTTCCTTGACAACGGGCAACTGAGATTTCTGGTGGCGGAGCCTCAAGTTGTGGCAGCAGCGGTTACAAGGGCCGCTTTTACACACATCCAAATCTCCACCAAGCAAGTGAGTATAATTTTTTAGGAATTTTTCAAGATCGAGAGTTTTCCTTCTTTTTATATACTACTTTTACTAATTACAATATTTCATTTTCTGAGGTGTCTCAAATTTACCAGTAGAATTGTGCAGATTTGATGTTCTATTTTTGCCGCTTCATTTTGATTATGTGTTTGTGCACACTGATACATGAATGGTGATAAAAGAAATTGATATTGTATCCAAAATTGAAACTTTTGTCATACGAATATGTACACTTTTGTGATCTTGAAGGAGAGTGTTTGTATACCAAGTCACTAAACCTTCAATAGTTCTTAGGCATTAAATGTCTGAACTATGTGTTTCAATACGGATTGCGTTAGGTAGGGCAGATAATTGCTTTTTATGAACTACATAAATTGGGCCAGTTCAGGTGGACATTTTATTGCGCCAGTTCAGGTGGGCATTTTATTGGGCTCGCTTAGAATTTTTGTTTGGAGTGATGGTGCCACAAAAAAAGCCCAAAAATAAAATAATAAATTCATACTTATATTGTCATGTTTTTATTCTACCATTTTTATGAGCAAGGTCGTCAAAGACATTATAACTTTTAACGCATTCGGCATTTGCAATTTTTGGGACAAAAAAATTCTCCAATTGTTGTTGGTGTTTCTAATATAAGTAAAGTATTTAAATAATTTATAAAACCAAAAAAAAAAAAATGATGCATTGGTAGAAAAATCAATTATTCATCAATATTCCTTAAGATATTAAATAATCAGTGTAAAAATTGGACATGATCATTATAACTAATGACCAAATTTTCACTGTATTTTTAGACTAAATTTGAGTCCGCCGTGCGTGTACGGCGTGACCCAATATATATATATATATGTAGTACTTTTATAATAAATTTATTAAAAATATTAAAATAAATATAGAAAATTTTAAAATTTAAATAAAGTAAATGATAAATAATTTATAAATCTTAACTATGTACTTTTATTTATATTAAAAATAATTTTAATGTAACAAAGTTTATCTAAAAAATCGTACCAATACTACATGTCTGACTGGTTGGTGTTGACCGGTTCTCTTGCAAACATTATATTCAATCGGACCGAATTGGTCGATAAACCTGTTCTTGGTCCATACGGTCGGACTTTTTGTCCTATCCAATTCCAAAAACAATCGGTGAATCATGATTAATGTTATTTATAAATTTAATTTATAATACAATCATAATAATGTTCTTCGTGCATCGCACGAGCCACGTACTAGTGTTATTGACAAAACATCTGAAAACCAAAAAATAGCACTGAAATATTATTAACATAATATCTTAAAACGAAAAGCAGAACACTTAAAGCATAACCAACTTTGATACCTGAAAGTCCTACAAACTCCTAATCCTATATCCCAAAAGTATATGCAAAAGAAAAAGAACAACAAAAACAGAAAATAGAAACCTGAATTACCTCTTTGACTTGCATCAAGAAGTGTGGAAGCCATTGTCAACCCTCATAAACCAGAACCATCCCTTCGACTTGCAAAGCCTCATCAAGAAAAACCACACAATCCCAGTCGCAGTCATACCCCCATTCACCAGGTACACTGTCTTGGTGGCTATGGACATTATGTAGATCAGATACATAGACGACACCAAACAGGCACCCGGTAAGGCCTCTTCATGAGCGGGTACTGTTAGTTTTTGATTAATTGTTTGTCCCACATCGAATGTATACCAAAGATGTGTAGGATCTTATTAGTATAAATAAGTCTCTTGCCTTTGGGTTACAATTGCACCTTATTCTATTCTCTCCTCTCTTGGTAGGAAATCCTTAATTAAGCAAATCCTAATTTGTGGGTTATTTAACCCTAATTGTATTTTGTTGGTGAGTTTAGTAAATTTGGCGTTGCGGTTGGCAGTGCCCGGAGATGTAGGCTATTTTCGCCGAACTCCGTTATCAATTTTTTTGTCTTTTTATTTTCCGTCTTTTATTTATTTGTGTTGGCTTATTTTCGTTTGGAGTAATGCTTGCCATATTTGTCGGAGGGGTATTTTTGTCCGCTGCGTTTTGGTGTTCTACCCCAACAAGTGGTATCAGAGCCGAAGGTTCGCCCTAGGCTAAGTCGAAGAGGCGAGCACTGCATTCGAGTTCGAGATGTCCAAGGAGGTCAAGGGCGCATCATCCTCTGCATTCATTCCGGCAAGGACGGTGATGCCGAACGTCAGACTCCCGGTGGAGATTTTCGATGGGACCGAGCATTTCGGCATGTGGCAAGGCGAGGTGCTGGATTGTCTTTTTCAGCAAGGCGTCGACATTGCAATTGAAGAAGAGAAGCCAACCGACGTTGAAGAGAAGGACTGGAAGAATATCAATCGCTTAGCATGTGGAACAATTCGTTCGTGTTTGTCGAGGGAGCAGAAGTACGCGTTCAAGCATGAGAATTCTGCTCACACTTTGTGCAAGGCTTTGGAGGATAAATTTCTGAAGAAAAGTGGCCAGAATAAGCTCCTCATGAAGAAGCGATTGTTCCGATTCGAGTACCGGCATGGCACATCGATGAATGACCACGTCACTGCATTCAATCAGTTGGTTGCAGATTTGTTGAATTTGGACGTCACATTCAGCGATGAAGATTTGGCTCTCATGTTGTTATCATCACTTCCAGACGACTTCGAGCACTTAGAGACTACTCTGCTCCATGGGAAGGACGATGTAACTCTTGCAATGGTCAGTTCTGCTCTGTATATCTACGAGTTGAGGAAGAAGAACAAACAAGAGACGAAGAATGCAGCAGCAGAAGATGAAGCGTTAGTTGCAAGAGGTCGGTCGAAGAGCCAAAAGAAGAATGGACGAGGAAGATCACGTTCCAAGGCCAAGCTTGAAAAAGACGAGTATGCTTTCTGCTATGAGAAGGGACACTAGAAGAAGGACTGTCCTAAGTTGAAGAAGAAAGGCAAATCTCCTCAAGATGCATATGTTGCTGAGGGTGGAAGTGAAGACTCAGAATTTTCACTTGTGGTTTCACCTTCATTATCTCATCCAGATGAATGGATTTTGGATTCAGGATGCACCTACCATATGTCTCCCATAAGGGAGTGGTTCTTTGATTTTCAAGAGATCAATGGAAGGGTTGTCTACATGGGTAATGATAATGTTTGTAAGACAACCGGGATAGGTTCAATCCGTTTGAAGAATTGCGATGGTTCCACCAGAGTGTTGACGGATGTTCGGTACGTGCCGAGTTTGAAGAAAAATCTCATCTCATTAGGAGCCTTGGAATCCAAAGGCTTGGTAGTGACTTTACGAGATGGAGTTATGAAGGCTACATCCGGCTTGCTCGTGGTGATGAAAGGAATCAGGAGGAATAATTTGTATTACTATGAAGGCGATACAGTTGTTGGGACAACAACAGTAGCAGATTCCACCAATAAGGAGTCTGAAGAAGTCAAGTTGTGGCATATGCGGTTGGGACATGCTGGTGAAAAATCCTTGCAGACATTGGCAAAACAAGGACTGTTGAAAGATGTCAAAGTGTGCAAATTAGACTTTTGTGAGCATTGTGTTCGGGGAAAGCAGAAGAGGG